TGACTTGGCCATATTTCTTTCTCGTGTTTTACATTTGATGAATTTTTTTGTATTTTACTTGATAGCCTTTAAAGAGTCTGCACACCCCCAAGCATACCTCAGAAAGTCATCATTCTTTAATGACAGCAAAAAAATTGAGATTGTGTATAAAAACATATGCTGTCTATTTATTGGAAAACTGAATTTTCAAAATCTTGATGTTTCATGGTGTCAGAACAATGTGGATAAGAATGAATTCATTTGTGCAAATAAATTTTACATATGCTTTCAAAAAAATAATATGCCAGCAGCTTAATATGTATTGATATTCTTTGTTTTGTTTCTTGATATTTGGTGCCAAATGAACATTTTACATCTGTCTTAATAATTATGACGGAACTTTGCATTTTTTCTATTTTGCATCAGGAACTTCTGAAGCATTTCTACATGCAGTTGCTACAGAGAATCAACTCAAACGCTCAAATGATTCATTGCTTGTGTTTTCATTAATATATTTAGTGCTAAATGTCCTACTGATGCGGTCAGCTGGTGCAGTTGGCTTAATTTTAGCAAATTCTATAAGTATCCTTTATAATAAGTGGGTGAGTTACCTTATCACCAGCATATTCTCATGTTTTCTTGGTCTGATTATGAAATCCCATTTGAACTTGAAGAACATTTCAGTTCTGGCCCTGGTTCCAAAATCCAATTATTTCTAATCTTAACAGTGAAATAAGTGGGATTAAGAATTGAAGATAATTTCCTCATGGTTTCTTAACCATTATGAAGATATGGTTCTGAGGATTATTTATTCAGCTGTATTCATAAAGCATTATTTCCAGGTATAATTTTGATCATTTAACCGTCTGAGTATTAACATCAACTTAGACTTGATATCTTCACTTTTATTTCCACAGGGCACTTCTTCATTTTCATTTCGGAGCTGCTTGCCTTCAGGTTCGGCGATTCTGCTAATTTCAGGTCTCATTACCCTCATTTCGGAGAAAGTATTTCTGGACCATGAGAATTTCTGGCCAACCTTTTTAATTCACTTTTCATTTGGGTTTACGTGCTTCTGCATCTCATCTGTTGTAATGTAAGTAGCTTCCGTTTCTTCAACCTCCTGCATATTATTAATATGGTCGTATAAGTTTAGTTATCGGGAAAACATTTTTATTTTTGTCCTCAGATACCGGTATGAAAGGCGATTCATCAACAAAATTATCCGGTTCCGTGACCATGCCGACTGAAGAACTGAAAACTGGTAAAACTTGTTTGAATAGTCAGTTTTTTTTGTTTGTTTGTTTTTTGATATAATTGAAAGCATAGTTAGTAACTTATGATAGAGGCAGAAACAGATGGGAGTCAATATTGTGTGTTTAATTTAGGGTGTTAAAAGTCAATTCAGAATATAATAATCGGAGAGAGAGAGAGAACAAGAAAATCCTTTTTGATTAGAGATGATGACTTTCTTCACCACGTGAACTTACAGCTGTTAACATTTAGCGTTCACATTTCTTTAATTCCTTAGAGATTATGATTTTATGAATTGAAATCTTGACATCCATGTCTTGGATATGTTATTTAACGTGCTTTCATAAGTGAATGTTATCAATACTATTCAAGTTTTATGTTTGGAATAAACTTTTAAGATTTATGCAAAATTGATTTGTAAATTCTCTTTTCTTTCTTTTCTTTTTTTAAAAAGAAAAAAAAATTTAAAAAGGTAACAAAAAATTATATTAAAATTAATAAATATAGAATTCTATAATTCATTTCAAAGTCTATCAAACTTCTTTCAATTTCAGATGTAATTTTTCATGGGATACAATGGCCCATGATTTAACTTTATAGACCGGACTCGGAACAGTTAAATGGAAAAATTATATCCACTTTGGCCCAAAAGTTAAAAAAATAAATAATAAAATTAAATTATAAACATATATATACAAAATATATCTAATACATCTTTATTCTTAAACTATTTTTTACAGATCACACACAACATTATAACCGAGTTATGGATTGAATTCTTATCAGCAAACTTAAAATAGAAAACAAAATTAAAATTAAAACTACAACTTACCATGAAAAGAAATGATATATTAAGGTAAAATACATAAATCAACTCTCAAATCTTTTGAAACGGCGACTTTTATTTGTGATTTATATTTTAGTGACAAGGAGATTTAATTTTATCATCACGTTTATTGTATACTAACAAATTAAAACTAATACTTGGTTGACAATTTAGAAAATTCTAAATTGTGTAAAAATTTCGACAATTGATTTAAATATTTGGCCATAATAATGAGTTACATATGTGTGTGTATCTTTGTATGTATTCAATAAATAATACCAAGTATATATATATATATATATATATATATATTCCGTAGCAGTCAGCCAACGGTTTGCCTACTGCTGTCTGTAATACTTTTCTTAAATTTATTTTTAAATGTACAAGAAAATTAATAAATATATATTTTGTCGTTAAAAAGGTGGGAGACGTTTTAAATTGCCGTAATAATAACCATTATAGTGGCGTGACCAAATGGACCCCGTGATTACCAACAAAAGCAACTTTTTCTTATCTAGTAATTTTTTTTTTTTAAAAAAATATATATATATAAATAATATTGTTTAAAATAATAATTTTATTATAAAAATTTAGAATATATTTTATTTTATAGAGTGAATTTTACTTGTTTATCAGTAATTTTGAAAGAATCTTTTATTTTTTTAAAAAAAATTATGTTAGAAAGACTCATGTTTTTCGTTATACCCATTTGATTAATTAATTAAAAGTTAAAATTATAATTAATTTATAAAGAAAATTATGAATTAAAGTAAGAAAGTTATGATTCGTAGGACGCCCCACGGGACAGAACTCTGACTCCGTTACGCCAGCAACTTGAGCACTATGTAATTATAAGCTTTGAAAACATAATTAAAAAGAAATAATATTTTAATAATAAAGTAAAAAGGAGGAGGAGGAGGAGGAGGAGGAGGAGGAGGAGCAGATTTACAAAATTGATGATGATTAAGGTGAAGACTAGGGTTTATTTTTAGGGTTTATAGAATTAAAAACATGGACTATATCATAAACAAAACAAAAAAAAGTGGGTTTCTAAAACAAAATGATTATTGTTTTTGAGTTTTTTTTCTTCTTCTTCATGTTTAAGAGGTGATTAGATTCCTAACGGAGACACCTTTTTTTTGCTTCAGATTACAGGAATATACGCACACGTATATATATATATTATATGCATGCATGTGTAAAGACAAAGAAACAGAAAGGAAAACAAGTTAAAAGACTTTTGGAATTTATATCCAACCGGATTCAATATGAATTTTGTCAACAACATTGTAATTAATAAACCCAATTCCATTTAAATCAAACCCTAAATTGATTCCCAATTAATTTTTCTCTCTTTAAACCCATATGGTGTTTGTGGGTTATATACGTACATATAATATAATATAATATATATATATATATAAAGAAATCTTTGAGCTTACATTGCATCCTCTCTCTCAAATAAAATGTGTTTAATTATTAAAAATGTAATTCTAGTTGACCATTGTTGAGTACTTTATCCCTAAAAATCCAAAAAACTGATTTAATCGCTTTTTATTGATTCATGTTTTGCAGGCAATATTTAGGTATGTTGTTCAACTTTGGAAAAATTAAAAAAAAAATTATTATTATTATTATTATTTTTGTGGCCCATATTCTTATCAGGAAATTTGACCAACAAATTAAACACCATATATATGTATGTATGTATCTGATGATCAGTTTCTAAGTCTGCAGACTGCCAACACAATTTTTGCCTTGTTGGTCAGATAAGGTGAAGGTTCAAGAATCAAGATGTTAGAATGCACAAATTTTGAAATTAATTTTTAGATCATAAAGGGAAAAAAAGCTGAGAGAAATTTTGTATGAAATCATGAATTGTCTCCCATGTGATTCTCATTTTCAGCTGTTTTGGATAAAGATGTTTAACAGTTCTACAGGTTGATTTTCACTAATACAAGTACTTAATTTACTTAATCCATGCTTAATCTACTTCAAAAAAAAAAAAAAAAAAAAAAAAGAAGAAGAAGCTGTAAAAGAAAACTGTTAGTCTACTTGAATTCACACATATATATATATATATATACATACACACACTAATGATTAGATATCTTACCCCAGTAATATTTTCATGAAATTATAAATTTTTTAAAGGTAAAAGTTCGTAAATTTGTTTAAGTAAGTTTTTATATCACTATAATAATATAATATTTAAATAAGAATATATATAACATAACTTTTTAGTAATAATTTGCCAAATGTATACACACTTTGATTAAAAAGAGTGCACACAAAATTACTAATTACTTAAATTTAACAATTAATGTAAAAAAAATACATTAATTTCTTTCATCCTATAAAAAAATTTAATTGATTCAAAATCTTTTAACATATTTTTATATCTTTTATTTGATAGATTAATCGACTAAAACTTAAAGACAAATCTCAATACTTATGCATCAATAGTTAAAATTTCAATTTTTTTTTATTATGACGTGGTTCATATAGAGAAAGAGTAATAAATTCGTTTTTGACAATAAAATACATAAAAAAAAATGCGACTACTGATGGTTTCATTAGAAACAATCAAGATGAAGTTCGGTCATAGATATTATGAGTAAATTAGGCATAAGCAATCCCTTGTTCGCTGAGGTGCAAAGTGTGCTTAAAGAGATAAGCTTGTAATGAGGACTTAGATTCACAAGTTTCGTTGTGAATTTTGACTCCTTTTATGCCATGCATCTCCTATGAAAATTTACATACGATACCCTCCGCAGAGATGAGAACTTGGATTAAGAAGTTATTAGGTCGTGGTGGGACATTTTCTTTTTCTTTTCTTCCATTTATATATATAAAAAAAGGGATTAATTGAGAATATAAAGTAAAACTACATATGTATATATATTGTTATATGTATACGTACATATAGGCGAATTAAGAC